TTCATTCAATCATTTACATTCCTCTTAGGCACCACAACTGGACCTCGTCAGCACGAAGGTTGTGGTGTCGATAAAATAAATAAAATAAATATTTTATGAAAAACTGGTTAAAATTTTTGAAAGTAGAAAGAGGATGATTTTAAAAAACAGTAAAAACGAAGAGAAAGAAACAGGGACCATCCGGATGGCATAAAAGAGAACCGTAAAAATGCCGATTATTGGCACTATGTCCAACCGCCGGCCCTTTTGCCAAACTTGATGGCTTCTTATAAAAGCATTTGGAAACAAACTTTTAGAATACTTTAGAGCTATTTAAGCGTACAAATTAGGATGAGGCGGCTACAGTGAAAGTTCTGTGCACTTCTCACATATATCAGTAATGATGCCTCATCCACTTAGTTTGATTTTTCTACCTTAAAACTCTCAGAACAATTGACGTGATATGACCATTATTACTAAAACTAGAGAAGAGTGAAGCTAAAACGACGAAAAATGACATTAATAATCAGATATGATTCAACGACTAATGAGAATAACACCTGGCATAATCACTGGTCAAAAACGGCTTAATCCTCCTCATCTGATAAGAATTCTGTCATATAAGTCTGGTTAACGCTAAAAGAAAATAGTGAAAAATCGTGGTACTAATAAAAATCAATATAAAAAAAATTAAATGAAGCAACCAAGTTTTGAAAAAAAGTTGGTTAGATATGGGCAGATAGATGCAACCATAACAACCTTAAATTACCAAACTAGTGATTAGAGCAGATTAGTGAATTGGTATGTCTCCGGAGAAGAGTGCCCTTCAGGAAACGAAGAACTTCACTTGCTCAGCGTTGTACAGCATCACAAGATTTAACGTGTGTTTCAAGATTTCACGCAGCACCGTAAAATCAAACGATACTGAACACGATAAAGTACACGAAATATCTTACTACAACTATGATCGGTTTTGCTGAGCAAATTTGGAGCAAATAACGCAAATCCGTTCGCCACCATCCGATGTTAGTAGCATACAACGACGGCAGTAAATTTTCCCGCATCTATAGCAGTGCAAACGACGCTCACCACGAGTCGCAAATTCGGCGCCACAGTTTTTATTGGCACATTCATCTGCCGTGCGAATCGATTGCCAACGTAGTGCCGGCAGTGGACTGCTGTCCTCCTAAAACGTTAGCGCATATGGTTTTCACTTCAAAAAGATCAAAGATCATTTTAAGCGTTACAGAAATTTTAAAGATACAAACAATAAATCGATTAAGAAGCTACTGGAAGAGGACGGGAGCCTGAAATCGTCTATGTCTTAACATACGCAGTTTGTATGGCACTGTCGGCCCGCCCGTGGAGAGTAACACAGTCGAATTTTGATAATTAATGAAAACACTAGAAGTGGTATTTAGATCTAATATAGGCAAGTCTGTATGTACAGTGACATGGCAGCCTGTCTGTTTCTCATCCTTGAGCCGTAAGCACAAGCGGCAAAATCGGTGCAAAACGGAAGTCAGGTTTATACAAAATAAAAATTCTACCGCAATCAAAGTTCCTGC